AATGTATTGTTGGCTATTGCTACAAATATACCCCAGCGACTTAAGACTGCTTTTGTGCTCCAGGGTCACACATAGTGAAAATATATAGGAAAAAACAGCTTAGACCCAAAAATATGCAATTTGGTGCAGATGCTGATATTTATAAGGACAAAAAAGAAATTCAGATCCTTGTAATGTAACTCAGTGAGGCCTTTATAACAGTATAGCAGATACTTACATAAATTAATATCAGTCGTCATCTCCCAATTATATGTTTTATTTAGATTATATTTAAATGCTTAGTTTTATTATCAAAGCTCTGTAGTTTCAAAACACTTAAAGCAATGATGATTGAGAGATGAACACCTAAACTGATGGATCGTGTTTGATATTTTGATTTTTAATAATTTTAACATGATTCTGAAATATGGATTTTTTTTATAATTTAAAAATAAAACCGTTTCGTAGCTTAAAGAACATTAAAACATGATTATTTTAATAAGCAAACAGTGTTTATAGCATGTTTTATGTATTCATGTTTTTAAATGTTTATGATATACATGCACAAATGCACATATTTATATGATTTAAATTAAATTAAAGCTTCATTTATTACAAAAACAACTTGATTTTAATACATCAAATTTAATTTTGTCTTTGCAAGTCTTGTTACTGAATGTAATAACTCAAAATGATTTCTGGATAATCAGGAAAAAGTTGCTTTGGTCCAGTAAGTGTTCATCTTGAAGTATTACCAACAAAATAGTTATTCTTGGGTTTGCTTTATAAAAATCAGATTTGACAGCATACAGACACGTGAAGCATGAGCTGAATGTGGACGTTTGGACAATTACACTAAACGCCTTTTACTTGCTAAAAAACTATCAATCAGACGGCATAGAGTAGATTGTGTGCTTTGATCATGTTGATCATTTCGAGGCTTTAACAATGCATGCATCAGATATGATGCAGTGGGCTCTGTAGGGTTAAGCTCTGATTTGTGACGCGTGTCTCCAGCTCAGCCCAGCGGTGAAGCGGCGGCGCAGCAGGGGGGCTACGAGATCCCGGCCCGTCTGCGAACGCTTCATAACCTTGTGATCCAGTACGCGTCTCAGGGCCGCTACGAGGTGGCCGTGCCGCTCTGCAAACAGGCTCTGGAGGACCTGGAGAAAACCTCCGGACACGACCACCCAGACGTGGCCACCATGCTCAACATCCTCGCCCTGGTCTACAGGTCAGAGGTCACCGCGGCCTGCTTTTCTGCATTTCAAAATATTAGTGATGCACCGAAATCACCCTTTACTTGAAACCGAAATTTCATTTAGCCACATGAAGTTAGGACATGAAGTTTATTTAATAATCAGTTATGTAATCAAATGTATTTAATAAAAACTATGTATTTTGAAAATTTTAATTGCACTTAAGGCGAGTTTTTAATATCAACTTTTTAAAGATATATTTGTTTAAACGTCATAAAGTTGAATATATTTACATTTATTTTTATATCTAAAGTCATGGTAGAAATTGCCTTTTTTTATTTTATTTTTATTTCATCTTAATCTTTATTAAATCTTAGTAACATTATAATTTCAGGAAACTTTATATGTATATATTTTTTTTTAATTAAATTTTTTTAATGATGTATTAATTTGTTGTTGGAGTATAAACAATTAAACGATGGATCATATTTGATACTCATGTTTTAACATGATTTTGAAATAGAAATATACATGTAATTTTTGTGTATAATTTAAACAAAACATCTTAAATTGCACTTAAGGCAGTATTTTATATAAGCTTTTTAATATATTTGTTTAAAAAGTTGATAACTTCATTAAAAAGTGGAATTTATTTAGATTTATAAAAATCCTACTAACATTATAAGTTCACCTCAGGAAACTACGTTTTTTTTTATTCAATATTTTAATCAAATTTAAATACGTTGTTGAAATATAAACAATGGATCACTCATTTTTTAAACATGATTTTTAAATATATATGTAATTAAATCAGTTTTAATTGAAGATAAGGCCATTTTTATATCAACTATTTTAATGATATATTCTATTTAAAAAAGTTGATTAAACTTCATTAAAAAGTTGAGCACATTTAGATTTATATAAATACAGAAAAAAAATCTATAATCTATAATGTTAGAAAATGGCCTTTTATTTCTAAATTCTGACAGTATTTATGTAATCCTACTAACATTAGGAAACTTTGATTTTTAAAAAAAATATTTTTATTCAACTTTTTAATCAAATATAAATATGTTGTTGAAATATAAACAATTAAACGATGGATCATATTTGATACTCATGTTTTAACATGATTTTGAAATACATATATAATGTAAATAAATCAGTTTTAATTGCACATAAGGCATTTTTCATATCAACTTTTTTAATGATATATTCAGTTAAAAAAATGAATATATTTACATTTTTAATAATATAGAAATATGGTAGAAAATGGCCTTTTATTTCAAAATTATGACCATTTTGTTGTAAAACATAATTTACATAATTTGACATCTGAGACTGTTTCATATCAAAGCATTAAGTTTATTGCAATGTATAGGCTTGCAGTTGAGCTACAAATAATGTGAAGTTTTGTTCATGCATCAACTGAAAACAGCATAGCCTGAAAAAAATCTTGGTGCATCAAAAAAGAAATCAATTTAAAAGCAACAAACCGACCGTCTGCACAGCTGACACGTTCACTTGTTGTAGTTTGCATAAAACAGACACTGACACAGTCAAACCACGCTTTCAGTCAATGTCTTCGGCCCTCCGAAATCTGCTGAAATGGTGCTGCATCACTAGGAAATGTGTGTGTTGCCACTCCAACCCAATTCCCGCGTGTTGTTCCAGGGATCAGAATAAGTATAAAGAGGCGGCTCACCTGCTGAATGACGCTCTGGCCATCAGAGAGAAGACTCTGGGGAAAGATCACCCCGCCGTGGCCGCGACCCTCAACAACCTGGCCGTGCTGTACGGCAAACGCGGGAAACACAAGGAGGCCGAGCCGCTCTGCAAGAGAGCGCTGGAGATCCGGGAGAAGGTGGAGAACCTGCACCTGTCACAACGATGATTTCCGTTGAAATCATGATGCTGTAGTGTATCTAGGGTTGCAAAGGGGCGGAAACTTTCCAAAAATCCCTGGAATATTCCAAAAAATCCTGGAAAGTTTCCAACATTTCTGGAATGTTTCCGAAATTTACTGGAAATTTTCCACCTTTTTGCAACCCTAATTGTAGCCATACATACATACTGGTAAAAAAAAATGTATAGCCTGAATGCACTGTAAGTCACTTTGGATAAATGGATAAATGTAAATGTAGCCAGTGTTGTTATATGAATTTGTGTGCGCGTGTGTGTTTGCAGGTTCTGGGTAAGTTCCACCCTGACGTGGCGAAGCAGCTCAATAATCTGGCCCTGCTGTGTCAGAATCAGGGCAAGTATGAGGAAGTGGAGTATTATTACCGCAGGGCGCTGGAGATCTACGAGAACAAACTGGGCGCCGATGACCCCAACGTGGCCAAGACCAAAAACAACCTGGTGAGGCCAGATCACCTCAACTAGAACTGACACGGCTGTATCTTAACCCTTGTGCTGTGCTGGAAATCCTTTACCTAATTTGGTGTTTAAAAATGTAATGGTGTGTTCACAGCAGACGCGAAGCGGATATGCACATCGCGTCACTCGCTCTAGATTACTCGCGGGATGTTTTTCGTGTCACTTGTGCGAATAAAAACATAGCGCGATCAACCATGGTGGAGATAACTACAATCGCTGTTCTGTACCTGTTGTCAAAACGTACCAAATATGATGGAAAGCCAGACGCTGACGTGTCTGGGTTCACAGCACCATCCAGAGTAGGGCTGCACGATAAATCGCATGCGATTATTTAATGCGCATCTTGTTAGTAAAGCCGGTTCTGTAACATGGAGCAGCATTTACTACACAGAGCCATTGTTGCAACTTGTCAGTGAATAACGGCTCTGTGTAGTTAATGCTGCTCCATGTGAAAGCACGCACGTGATGAAGATTTACCGCTGATTACAGAACCGGCTTTACTAACAAGATGCGCATTAAATATCGCATGCGATTTATCGTGCAGCCCTAATCCAGAGGAGGATGAGTAACTTTAGGATCCTGCATTAATGTGTGTTACATTTTACTACTGTATATATACACTGATATTACTATTATTTTTATTATTGATAGCAGCATCTCTGTAGTCATGCTAATAAAATACAACTAACACTACAACTGATTTTAATAGTTTTTTATGCTCCAGACCTATATAATAACAGACGAAAGTTTCCGCGCGAGTTGAAATTTTTTAACTTGCGCGGAAGACGCAATTGAGGCGAATATCGTGCGTTCGCGGCAAACGCGTCGCTTCATTCGCGTCGCCCGTGCACGAATTCGCCTTTATTTGCGTCTTTGCGTTGACTTTGTATGTAATCTACTCGCGCGAATAATTACATTCGCATCTGGTGTGAACACACTGTAAGAACTGCTTGTAAGTCTCTCATTGTGCGATATTATCACCAAAAATTGGATTCAGTCTAGTTTTCTTTCAGTTAGCACAGGTTTTGTATTTAATTTTGGATCTGATTGGTCATTGGCCTCATTGATCTGAGCTGCACCTGAAAAAAAAAAAAAGCGTTATTTGTGGACCATTTTTGGCAATATTCACTCAAAAACTGAGGTGCATAAACTCAGAAATACAAAACCTGTGCTAATTAAAAGAAAACAAGTTGATGATAAAATGATTGAATCCAATATTTGGTAATATAGCATAATCATTTACAAGCATGCTCACCACAGGTGTAACAAGGTAGGAGGAAAAAATCCTAAAAAAAAAAAAGTACAAAATTATTTTTTTGGTAGTTTTTAAATCCTGTGTGAGAAAAGAAAATCCTCTCCAGGTCAAAATGCCCGAAACACAATACGACGGTTAAAGGGATCATGAATGACATTTTTTTTTACTTATAATGTTAGTAGGATTTTTACATCAAAAACATAGATGCCATTTTCTACCCTGATTTTATTTCTGTATTTAAATGTTTATTTCTGAATATTTCTGATATAACTATTTATGTACTTATATGAACTATTTAAGCCATATGACACAACAGTTCAATAAACAAGCAATAAATAAAATGTATCTAATCCTGTTTTTTTAATACAACAATTTGTTCCTCCTGCTTGTATATTTTTTATTATTTTTTTTAAATCTGAAGATTTCATATTTTATTTCTGTATTTGACCAATTGTCTTTTTCCTTATTTCGTTATTATTTAATAAGCGTGGTCATTTTCCACATTGATTTTAGTCCTCTGATTTAAACACTCATAGCCTAAAGGGGCGTGTCTCTCTGAATACTTGTAAACACCCACTGCTGTGATTGGCTAACAGCTCTGCATATGAAATAAGTATTACATGTGGAACTTCCATGATTAACTAATCATAAAAAGTGTTGATTATAGCATTGTTTTTAGACCTACTCGCATCGCATTAAAGGTTGCGTCGCTGAGTATTGTATCCGATCGCAGTCATGTGATCTTTTGAGCTTGTGAATGCAGTGATCCTGACATTGCAGTGTGATGTCTGCATGCTTTAAAGGGGTCATATGATGCTATTTTAAAGATAATTATTTTGTTATTTCCACATAGTGATGTAGATATGTGGGGGTGTGTTAGAACGAGCCATTTTAGGTAGGCATGGTTGACTCTTAACTTTTATAAAGAATATCTCTTTGGATTTGAGAAAGGAAAAATTGAAATTCGCTTCATATGACCCGTTTAATCAAAACTAACACCGTGCAAACAGGATGTAAATAAGAGATGCAAATAAACAATATAACTTGTTTGCCTTAAATCAAGTTTGCATCTAATATATCACGTCCTGATGTCTCCTGCTCTCGTGTTTATCTGTGAAAGTAAATATTCGAGGTCAATAAAGAGCAAGATCAGGAGAAACTGCAGACTCAGTGACAAAGCACAAGCCCTCTGGGTGAATTCTGATACGAAACATCAGCGTTGGCTGCGGATCTGAAAACCCGAGAGCATTGTTCTCTCAGAAGCTCAATGACCGTGATTTTGCTTCCTCCGCAGGCGACGTGTTACCTGAAACAGGGCAAATTCAAAGACGCAGAGACGCTTTACAAGGAGATCCTGACCCGCGCGCATGAGAAAGAGTTCGGATCTGTCAACAGTATGTATTTACACATGCATGGAGATCATATATTCATATTTGTTTTATGTGAATTTCGTAAGCCTTTTTATGTTAATCATGCATTTTGCTAAGAATGGACACGTTTTTGTTTGCATCTTCATCAGTTTTTGTCAGGATGGCGTCAGAGTGAGAGGTTTTGTCTAATCTGTTATGACATCACAGGCTTTTAGCCAATCAGACACTTACAGGTTTACGATCAAACATCCACCTGCTCTTCCTAAAAGCACAGCAAGCTCATTAGAGTAAATAAAGGAAGACTTGCCACTCAGTGTCTGATGCCATGCAGGGAAAGCTGCTAGAAAAAAAACAGTGGTAATATTGAATTAATCACAAAAAAAAAAGTCAAAATTTTTTTTAATGAGAATTATTTTTTCCCCCACAGATGATAATAAACCAATCTGGATGCATGCAGAGGAAAGAGAAGAGAGCAAGGTATTATAGGCTTTATATTATTTAAATTTATTTATAATAAATACATGTATTTATATTTATGTATACATTTATTTAAACGTAAATATTTGTATAAATGTATTTATTTAAATGTAAAAAGATTTGTATATTTACATTACCGTTCAAAAGTTCGGGTCAGTGAGATTTTTTATTTTTGTTTTTTAAGAAATTTATACTTTTATTTAGAAGGGATGCATTAAATTGATCAAAATTGCCAGTAAAGACATTTATAATGTTAGAAATGAGTTCTATTTCAAATAAATGCTGTTCTTTTAAACTTTACATTCATCAAAGAATCCTGAAATAAAAATGAATCACGATTTACACAAAAACATGAAGCAGCACAACTATTTTCAACATTGATGATAAGAAATGTTATGCATATTATTATGATTTCTGAAGGATCACGTGACACTGAAGACTGGAGTAATGATGCTGAAAATTCAGCTTTGCATCAAAGAAATAAATTACATTTGAAAACAAATTCAAATAGAACACAGCTATTTTAAATTGTAATAATATTTCACAATATTACTGATTTGTACAGTATTTTTGACCAAATGAATGCAGCCTTGCTGAGCAGAATCTTCAAGCAAATTAAAAAATCTTAAACAATAATGTGTATATTTTATGTATATTAAATATAATGTATGTCTATATCTACTTAACCTTGTTAATAAACATATCTATATTAATGATATTTAAGCAATAAGACATTGCTTTTATATAACACTAAACAAAATAAATGTATCCAATTTATTTTCTTCTGAACAAAAATTTAGTGTGGTCCTCTTATTTATTTCTTTTGTATCAGTTTTCATATTTCTAATGCTCTCATTTCATTATATTTAATCTATGCGTTTAAGATGTCTTCATTGCAGTGTGAATTCAGTTTGTCTGATGGTCATTTCCAGGGTAAGAGGAAGGACTCGGGTCTGTACGGCAGCTGGTATAAAGCCTGCAAAGTGGACAGGTGAGTGTGCAGGTGTGCCTCCGAGGATCCTGGGTATCGGAGTGTGGAGGAATCAGAGTGACTCTCTTGACGTTTCTCTCATGTAGCCCCACTGTTAACACCACGCTGAAGAGTCTGGGCACGCTGTACCGCCGGCAGGGCAAACTGGAGGCCGCCGAGACGCTGGAGGAGTGTGCAACCAAAAACCGCAAACAGGTACGGCATGCATGCTGATTTCCTACCTGATGCTCGACCTATAAACTCGAGGTCGACTTCCTGTGCAGATGACTCCTACAGGAAGAGAACGATGTTAAAGATCACCTCACTGACTCTCTGTGTTTTCTCTTACCTTACTCAACTAAATTAAACCTTACCTTACTTAAAGGGATACTCCACCCCAAAATTAAAATTTTCCGCGCTGCACAGATGCGCTGTTTTCATTCAAATCAAAGCGTAAATACACGTAGAAAATGTATCCTTGTGTCGCGGCTGACACAGAAGAGCGTACGCTGCTTGCGTTCAGCGGTTATTCTCCAAAATGGCGCTATGGTGATGCGGAGAGACACAGAGGAGACGAATTGTTGAATAAAGTCGTTATTTTTGTTTTCTTCGCGCACAAAAAGTATTCTCGT